GTTCCTGGAGGTGTGATGCTAGGTTGTTGATATGTGATCCTTCAGTCTTATTAATGTAGGTCTTAAGCACTATAAATTTTCCTCTGAGCACAGTTTAACTTTCCAGAGGTTTTGATAATTTGTTTTATTGCTGTCATTTATTTCAAGAAATTTTAAAATTTCCATCTTGATTTTCTTGTTGACCCAAGGATCATTCAGGAGCAGATTGTTTAGCTTCCATGTTTTTATTTGAGTTTGCAAGTTCTTCTTGGAGTTTCTAGTTTTATTCCACTGTGATCTGACAAGGTGTTTGATATGATTTTGATTTTTTTTTGAGTTGGAGTCACTCTGTCACCCAGACTGGAGTGCAGTGGTACGTTCATGGCCACTGCAGCCTTGACCTGCTGGGCTTAGGCGATCCTTCCACCTCAGCCTTCCAAGTAGCTGGAACTACAGGTGTGCACTACCATGCCCCACTTATTTTTTTATTTATTGTAGAGACGAGGTCTCACCAAGCTGCCGAGGCTGGTCTCAAATCCCTGGGCTTAGGCAATCCTCTTGCGTCAACCTCCTGAAGTGCTGGGATTATAGACTGAGCCACCATGCCTGGCTGAGTTTGATTTTTTAAAAATTTATTGAGACTTGATTTGTGGCCTGTCATATGGTCTGTCTTGGTGAATACTCATGCGCTGATGAGAAAAATATATATTCTGTAGTTTTTGGATGGAATATTCTCAGGATGTCTATTAGTTCCATTTGTTCTAGATTCTGTTTTTTTGTCTTTGTTCTTTTTTTTGAGTTGAAGTCTCACTCTGTCGCCCAGACTGGAGTGCTGTGGCCGCTCCTGGCCACTGCAACCTTGCCCTGCTGGGCTCCGGCGATCCTTCCGCCTCAACTTTCCAAGTAGCTGGAACTACAGGCATGCGCTACCACACCCAGCTAATTTTTTGATTTGTTGCAGAGATGAGGTCTCTCCAAGTTGCCCAGGTTGTTCTCGAACCAGTGGGTTCAGGCAATCCTCTCACCTTGGTCTCCCAAACTGCTGGGATTACAGACTTGAGCCACCATGCCTCGCCTAGAGTCTGGCTTGACTCCAATGTTTCTTTGTTGACTTTCTGCCTTGATGATCTGTCTATTGCTGTCAGTGGAGTGTTGAAGTCTCCCACTATTATTATATTGTCTCTCTTTTCTTAGGCCTAGTAGAATTTGTTTTACAAAACTGAGGGTTTTGGCATTAGGGGCATATATATTTAAAATTATTATGTCTTCTTGTTGGATTGATCCTTTTATCATTATATAATAGCCATCTTTGTCTATTTTTACTGTTGCTAATTTAAAGTCTGTCTTATCTGATATGAGAATAACTACTTCTGCTTGTTTTTGGTTTCTACTTGTGTGGAATATTTTCTCCTACCCCCTTACCTTGGGTCTATAGGAATATTTGTGAGTTAAGTGGGTCTCTTGAAGAGTTGTGTATTTTGTGTATTCCGACAGACTGTATCTTTTTAGTTCAGCATTGAGACCATCCCCACTAAAATAATTATTTTAAATTTACTGTTTGATTCAATAAACACACACACACACACACACACACACACTCACTCACTCACTGCAAGTGATGCAATTGCCAATCTGAAAAATCCAAGAGATTAGATTAAAAAATATAAAGCTAGTGAATGTTCAGAATGATGACCCATTAACATGTAATAATCAGTGTCATTTTTATATTTAAAAATACACTAGACAACATAGTGTTGGATTCAAATTGGAACTAAAAAGTTAAGATAACTAGAAATATACTTTGGGATGAGAAAGGACATTTTTCTCATGACATTTTATTAGAAACCATTTTATTAAAGAAAAAGATCAAGTCAGATTTCTGAACAAAACAAAAGACAAACAAAAACACCTCCTTAACCCAATAAATTAAAATGTAAGAAACAAGCTGGAAAAATACTGTAAAATATATCTGTCAAAATTAATAATATATAAAAAGAGTTTTATAAATCAATAAGGAAATGGAGAGGTCATGAACAGGTATTTTATTTAAAAATTTAAGTAATCAACAAACACCAAGTGTTACATTTTATTGGCTAGAAAAGATCAAATTAAGATGATAATCACATTTTACCTTCCAAATCAGCATATATTGAAAACAGTTAATTCTTGTGATGGGGAGGTGATGTCACATGGTACTCATGTGAGATGCTGGTGGATGTGGAAATGGGTGTGATTTTCTGTAGAGCATTGTTTATATATGTTTCAAAAACGTTAATAACATGCATCTTGTTTTCATCTAGCAGTTCCACAACTGGAAATTTAGCCAAAGAAAATCAGGAAGCATATATTCGAGAAGAGGTCATTAAGAATGCTCGTTGCAGGGTTATATGCATTAGAGACATTTGGAAACAAGCTGAATTTCCAGATAAAGATGGGCGAATAAATTGTGGTTTGCCATATATAGTAAAAGGCCACTTACTGTTATCAGATAATATTTACACTTCAGCAAGAAAAGAAAGACAGCAAAAGGTGTAGACTTTTTGTTGTGCTTTCTTGCACTTTCTAATTTTTAACTATCAAAACTCATTGTTTTTGTTGTCAGAGCAAGAAAAGATATTTCCAAGTGTAGAGAAAGTGACATGAGGTGTGACACAGGGGCATATTTCCTCAGATGCTTCTGCCATGTGTGGTCGTGCCTTTGTGGGTTGCAGTCCTGGCTCCTGGACTCATGAGCTCTGTTTCTTGGGCAGCTCTCTGGGCCTCCGCGTCATCATCTGAAAATCAGTGTTGGATCAGGACCTGCTCCAGGACGTGGTTGTGAGGATGAGAGTTGTCCACACATGTACTTAGAACCATGTCCACATGTAGCCAGGGCTCCATCAGTTTTGTGGTGAATAAATTGCAGGGAAAAATTCGACTCAGCTTTTGGTATCAGAAAAAGCTATGCATCTTCAGAAAAATGTTTTGTTTTTTTTTTTGAGTTAGAGTCTCACTCTGTCACCCAGACTGGCGTGCAGTAGCCACTCCTGGCCACCGCAGCCTCGACCTGCTGGGCTCCGGTGATCCTTCCGCCTCAGCCTTCCGAGTAGCTGGAACTACAGGCGCACGCTACCACACCCAGCTGATTTTTTGATTTATTGTAGAGATGAGGTCTCGCTGCCCAGGCGGGTCTCGAACCCGCGGGCTCAGGCAATCCACTCACCTCAGCCTCCCAAAGGCACAGGATTACAGGCTGAGCCACCGAGCCCGGCTCAGAAAAATGTTTTAGTTAATCTAAAAGCACAGTAAACCTTAAAGCTTAACATGTTTTCTTTTTTCTTTGGCTGCTAATTTATAAATTTGGGGCCACATTCATGGTCACCTTTACAAACTGTACAGGACCAAATACATTTCCACTGTGCTCATTTTACTCGTTACTTAATTTTCCCACCAAATTCTTGTCTATATTAGGGTTGCCAGATAAAATACGGGGCAGTCAGTTAAGTTTTAATTTCAGATAAACAATGAATTTTTTTAGCATTAAGTATGTCTCAACTATTGCATGGAACATACTTATACTAAAAAATTTGCTTTTTAGTTGAAATTTAGCACAGTTTGCATTTATGTGTTAAATCTGGTTTTACACTTTACATGTATTTTTTATTAAACTGTTTCAGATCCTTTGTGGAACAGTATTGGGAAATGAATGAATGAATATATACATTTAAAATGAGTAGCCAGGTGCGGTGACTCAAGCCTATAATCCCAGCACTTTGGAAGGTGGAGGTGAGAGGATTGCCTGAGTCCAGGGTTCGAGACCAGCTTGGGCAACTTGGCGAGACTTTGTCTCTTAAAAAAAAGGGAAAATAAAATGAATAAGAAATACACTCTGGGTGGGAGAAAACTTTGGAGATGCTTTCCTAATCTCTGAAGAAAGGACTTCAGAATGTCTACTCTGTAGTGACCTGTAATAGAATTATATTCTACAACTTGTAGATTGGCCTTTTAAATTAATACCAAACATTCACCTTTCTTCCCCCCATGTCACCTTCCCTCCCTCTTCTTTCTCCTCCACTCTCTCCTTTCTCTTTTGCTTTCTTTCCTTCCTTTTTCAGAAAGTTTTTTTAATATCTAAATTTTATTTTAAAAATTATTACACATACGTAATAGCTGTTCCCTTGCTTTTTTTTTTCCTTCCTTCTTTCTTTGTCTTCTTTTCCATTTCTCTTTCTTTCTTTTTTATTTTGTATTTTGTAAAATGATGTCTCACTATGTTGCCCAGGCTGGTCTCGTCTCAAACCCTTGGCCCCATGCAGTCCTCCTGCCTCGACCTCCCAAAGTGCGTGAGCTGCCATGCCTGGCCTCTTTTCCTTGTAGCTCTTCTTTTATTGATATCTTAATGAAAAAGAAAACCTTGGAAGAGTTTTAGGTTCACACATATCAGGAAAAACAAGAGCTATGAGAAAGATAAAAAGAGTGGGATTATTCAACCCAACGAAGTACAGTGTGAGCGTGGCAGTAAGTTAATACTGTTAGCAGGAAGCGGTTTTTCAGATTCTCTGTGGTCCTGAGTGGAAAGGTCTGTACATTTGCGCCTGCAGGAGAGACACGGCAGCAGGAGTGCTTACACTCAGCGTGGTAAGTCTGGGGGAGCTCGTTACTGGCAAGGCTGTTGCGACAGCTCCAATTGCTCATTTCAGGTAAATGTACGGAGTGTATCCATTTGGGAAATTCACAAACATAGGGCAATTTGTGTTCTTACAGAGGAGCCAAAAAGGACCTTCTGAAGTCCTCTCCCAGACGTGTCAAGTCATCCTCTCACAGGGTCTTCTCAGTGAGCCTTGTTTTCATCCACTTGTAATTTAGGGCGAAGCACACAATGTGTTAGGGAGTTGCTTACCCACTGACAGCTCGGGGCCGTGTGGCTCACCAGACTGTCCTGCCCCTGGTGGTGGCGCGTCCTTCACCTGCAGCCTCCTCAGCCACGCCCCTGTGCTTTGTTCCAGGCGCATTCCGGGCACGTGTGAAAAGCAGAAAAGAAGATGTGGACTTCTCAGTGCGGGATGCGGTGCTGGCTGCTCTCCTCTTTTCTGGCGATTGCTTACTTCTGCACCATCGTCCAGGGTCAAGGTAACTGCACACCTTGAGGGATCGGGAAGGTCTGGGACTCCAGCCATCCTGGTTCTGATTGCCGTTTCTGTTTTACTTATGCTAATGGCGCTTCATTGGTTCAACTGCATTTCTAGGCAGGCGAAGAGGTGGGCTTTGGTTGAGTGTCGCCAGCTGTTGGCACCACAGGAACGTACCACCACCACTTGGGTGAGGGGCGTGGCCTCATCAGTGACTGAGCAAGGCAATTTTCTGGTACTTTTAAAAATAGCACATTCTTGAGTGCTCCTGAAAGGCTGTGCAAGTTAATTAGTGAGAGTCACACTTGCATGTTATAAAATCAGTCCTCTGAATAAAGCTGCATTAGTTATACAGCCTTATTAGTAAAGCCCTATTATTGTATAGATATTAATAAAGAGCGATTATAATGTGTGTGTGCATCCTACTTGTGCCTCGTTTCTTATATAGGTGTCTGCAAGATACTTCCACCACTTCACACCTTTCCAGTTTTACTGCTTTTCTGGAAAACCGAGCATACAGTCTAAAGGCTATTAAGGGTCTGACAGAGGCTGTTGATATGCCACTTTAAGCATTTTTAGTGATTGCTAGCTTTGTGTTAATTAAGCCTAATTTGTGAAATCCACTCACTGCATTAGTGGGATCTGCATTTGTAGTTTTGCTTTCTACTCATTTTTATAAAGTAAGTCTGGGGTTGACCAACTACCATCTGGCCCGCTGCTTGTTTTCATAAAGTTTTATTGGAACCCTGCCATGTGTTCATGCATTGTCTGTGGCTTCTTTCTTACTACAGTGACAGAGTTGAGTAGTTGTGACAGAAACTATGTCTCCTGCAAAAATGTTTATTATCTGGCCCTTTGCAGAAAAAATGTGCTAGCGCTGAGTGAGTGTGCACAAGCGTGCAAAGTGATGTTACTAGACAAACATGGTGACATGCAGAGACTGACATGTTGGTGATGAAATGCCACTCATCAGCTGAATAACGGTGTATCCGGGTGACAGAGTGGCTTTGGGAACACTAATGTCAAGGGCTGGGAACTGAGGCTCGTGGCAAAGACACATGCACAGACACTGCACCCTGTGTCCTCTGAGGTGGGCACAGCTGGCGGGAAGGGGCATACTTGCTCCTGTGTGTGCAAAGTTGGCCCCGGGGAGAGTGGCTAGACTTCCAGCTCTCTCCTGGAATGCGCGGCAGGCGTCTGGGAGACACGTTCTGCTCATGTCTTCTAGGGTGAAGGAAGATGCTCTCAGCTGTGGTGGTGAGAGATGTGACTGTGAGAATCTGGGCAACTCTCTCTCTCGGCTCCGGGCTGAGAGGCCGTCACAGAAGGAGGGGCCGGCAGCTCGCTGAGCTCTTGGAGCGGCCAGCTTCATCTAGTGTCGCTCAGAAATGGTTGCTCGTGGAGTCGTGGGTTGTGTACACCCTAACCCTCACCCTCTTAAAGATGCTGTCTGCCACATGCACGCTGTTAGCCAAATTCTGTTTTTTTTTATTTTAATTTTTTCCCAGATTCTATTTTAAATGAACACTCATGGGGCAAATTATGTGTGTCTCACATTCAAGGCACACAGCTGAATAAGACTATTTCTTTTTCTTCAAGCAGCTCACTGTCTGCTAGGGAGACCGCAGTATGAGCAGATACATCTCAGGGTAGGTTCTGGGCGGGGTGGTGACAGACAAAGATGGAAAGGAGGACTGAACCAGGTTATGGGAGGTTTTGAGCAATTTTGCTTTTTCAAAGAACACTCTCATAGCGGCAGTAACGATATTCGTGTTTGTGACTCATGGGGGCTTGGGGGTAGGAATCAGTAAGGCGCGAGAGACCCTTAAGAGATATTAAGTGGCCCATGGATTCCAGGTTGAAGGCTTGGATGTGACTAGGGAGAGGCGTCACTCGGAGGCAGAAAAAGCAGCCCTTGTCTGCTGATTACACGTGGAGAGGGAGACACTCAGGTGATGGGAGCTTCTTGCTGGAGACCTGAGCGGGCAGACCTTGAGTGCCAACCCCCGTGCTATTACTGCTTCTCTATGGCATCGTTATTGCCTCTGCCTCAGCTTGGGAAGGCAGTGCTCTCTCTCCAGTGTCTGTGTCTCCAGTACAGGACCCTGCTTCAGGCACAGCAGACGGCTGCTGAAGTGAGTATTTGAAGTGCGAGAGGAGTTCCCTCTTCAACAAGCATGTGCAACCCGAGGTCGAGGGCATCCAGGTGGAGCAGTCAGGCAGGCAGTTGGCAGTCTGGAGTTTAGGGGGAAAGACCAGGATGGAGGTTATTTGGATTGTGTTTTACTTGGGGATTAGCTGAAGCCTTCGTGGTAGAATTAGAAAGGACAGCCCGGTGGAAAGATGTGAGGATGAAATCTGCAGGACATCAACAGGTGAGAGTTTAGTGGAAGAGAAACGATTGAAAATGGCAAAAAGCAAAACATAACAGAACACAGAAAAAACAACTGGAAGGAGAGTCAGGGAGTGTAGCGGCCTAGGGGTGGGAGACTTTCCAGAATGAAGGTGGAGCCACAGGCTGAAGGACACCTGGTAAGAAAGGCTTTGGACATCACTGATGTTAGTGATTAGGAAAATGTGTGTGACCTTTGCGTAAACTTGTCATGTTTCTCCTACGATACCACGTATTTACATGATTGATTTTGAGCAAAGAATAAGGAATATGGATTGCTCTACTGAATTCATTTTCTGCTTTCTAAGAAAATTTAGTAGTGAGTTCCAGTGGCTTGACCGATTTTGACACTAATTTGCAAAGCCGTACAGACATCTTGAATGTCATGTTTATGAGCCTTTTTTTAAAGTTGGTGTGGTGGGCAGAATAATGTGCCAGCAAAGATGTTCACATCCTGCTCTTCAGAACCTGTGAACGTGTCACATTGTATGGCAGGGGGAATTCCGGTGTCAGATCGAATTAAGTTGGCCTTAAGACAGGAAGATGATCCTGGCTTCTCTGGCATTGGAGGCAGGCAGTGTAATGGCAGGAAGCTCTAAACATGGAAGAGGGAGGCATAGGGACCAGTGTCAGTGATGCCATGTGAGAGAGGCGCCTGGCCACTGCTGGCTTTGAGGACAGAAGGGGCCACGAGTCAGGGAATGTGGCGGCCTCCAGAAGCTGGAAAGTGAGGAAATGGAGCCTCCCTGGAGCCTCAAGAAAGAGATGCAGCCCTTCCCACGCCTTGACCTTAGCCCCTAAGACCCATCTCAAACTTCTGACGCCCAGGACTGTGAGACAATAAGTGTCTGTTGTTTTAGCCACCAAGATTGTGAAATTTGTTACTGAAGCATTAAACAACTAATACAGTTAATGCGAAAAGGCACACAGGACATTGATTCTTGCTCTCTAAATTGCCAATCAACAGAACACACTTTACCATTTGGTCTCTCCTTGTAATATTTTATGAAAACCTTTTCCTCTTCAGAAACTGTGAACCCACATTGGCTCAAGCAATTGTTTATACCTGGATTATTCCGGCATCTTCTTTTCAAGACAAGTTGTTAAATGAGCTGGAATACAGAAAAAGTAATGTGTTGGCTGTAGGGGAAAAAAAACATTCACAGTAATGACAGAATGATGGCATCAACACTTTCTTAGAATTTCACAGTGAATATGTACTTGGTTCTAGTGTTGTTTGTTTTGGGTAGTCACAAGAAGAAACCACGGAAGGTAAAGTAGCTGTCATTTAAAACCCGAGGGCATATAAATTGAAGACTTCACATGGTGGCTAGACGTCTTTATAAAGACTTCTATGTTCACACCTTTACACATTTTTTTGGTTGCTATTACTAGTTAAACATATTTGGAAAGTTGAGAATATTTTCCTTACTGCTGTTTTCAACATCTTTATAATGGATCATGAAATGATAGCATATTAAGTTCTAAACCAGATAAAAAGAACTCTCTAGCTTATCCCACACTAAGTGGTCTCAATACTTGAATTCTTATTTATAAAACATTTGGGCAATGCATTTAATAGAAAAAAATGACTGAGATAAAAAGGGTTTTTTTAGATCACTTGGAAAAATAGCCAGATACTTCTCTGCTGTTTAATAGTCTTTAAGACATAAATATATTTGGTTGCCCTATCATTAAGCCTCCTCTGCTATGTTTTATTTTGTTTTTTTTATTGACTGTTTTAAAGAGGAAAACATTCTCAGTGTGACCCATACTGCTGCCTCTCTGTCATTCTTTTTATTTTATTCTTTTGAGTGGGAGTCTCAGTTCGTCGCCCAGACTGAAGTGCAGCGGCCGCTCCCGGCCACCGCAGCCTCGACCTGCTGGGCTCCGGCGATCCTTCCGCCTCAGCCTTCTGAGTCGCCGGAATTACAGGCGCGCGCTCCCACGCCTGGCTGATTTTTGACTTACTGCCTGAGCCCGCGGGTTTGAGACCTGCCTGGGCAACTTGGCGAGACCTCATCTCTGTCATTCTTGATGCAGATAAAAGAAACTTGGTCCGTCAGCTTAGGCAAAAATGTCTTCACTTTTAGGTAATGCAGTAGCTCATATAACCAAGTAAAAGTAAATAACCAAGCTTTGAAGAGGATGGGAATCTGGGAAACCCTCCGGGATTCAGTTTGTAGGAACTAAGGACTGTTTTCTTGAGGGCATGTCATTGGAATGGCTGGAGTTATTTTCCATCCTTCCATCCCTGGAGTCAAGTGTCCGATAGTTGAGCGCGTGACTGACCGGGTTTGGGTCATTTTCCCACCCGCTAGCCAGGGGAGGAGCGCAGCCCTGTGCCGGGGGAAGCGGGTGTCCCTTGGGAGAAAAGCAAGGTGCTGCTGCACGGGGTCGAGGGGACAGGGATGTGGCCGGGGAGGACGCAAGGCGTCCACTGCAGCGTCCCTGTGTGACAAGCAGCACTGAGAAGTCGATGAAGTCGATGAGACTGTTTCAGGAAAACACGTCTTTACCTACGTTGTCATTTGTCAGACAGCAATCATTCAAACTGGATTGAGAAGAATAAGAGGAAAGAAGAAAAGGAGAGAGGAAGGAGGGGGAAGGAGGAAGAACAAGGGGGAAAGGGAGGAAGGAGGGAAGGGAAGAGGGAAGGAGACAGCTGAAGTTTGCTTGAATAAGCAGTCAGGTTATGAAACCGGATCCCGAAACGCTGGGTGACAGAGACGCTTCGATGAATTGACATCCGCGCTTCTTTCCTGCCTGTGTGCGTCTGCAGGAGCGACGGCAGCGAAACTCCTTTGGGGAACCCCCCCTCAAATAAAGCGCAACACAGACAGCAAGACGAAATGCCTCACACCTTCAGCCACACGCCTGGCCCTGCTGGAGCCGGAGAAAGAGCAGGTGGCCCTCTTCCTCCTCAGTCCCCTGGGCCGGAGTTCACTGGAAGCCCGAGCGCCCCAGACAGAGGCTGGGGCTGTGGTCTTCCTCCAGGTCCTCAGCGTGCGCCGGGAATCACGCTTGACGCTGGCACGCAGCGTGTGTCTTTTTGAAAAGGTCAGGATCTGCACCATGCAAGCGAGCCTCCGAGTCAAGCCCATGCAAGCATGTGTAATTGTCCCTGAAGTGAAGTGCATGCGTTCAGAGCACTCCCTTTCTGCTTCTAAAAAAGAAAAACCACGGGTCTGGTGTAAAATATACACAGACGCTTGTTCCGTGAGATGAGAGCAGTTATTTCTGCCCAACGCTCATGGCGTTCCTGTTGCCTCCAAAGGGGGACGAGCTGACCTTGACGTCCACAGCTGTGACCTCGTGCCTTTCTTTCCTCTCGGACATTTCTTCTCTTCCGAGATTTCCCTTAAAGGCAACGGCCTGAAGGAAACGTGAACTCGGTGTTTAACTGGGTTTTCTTCCGAAGACTGTGAGATTGTTTACGCCTGTGCAGGCATGAGAGATGGTCTGCTGACAGAAGGCGGCAGTGGCACTGCTTTCTGCGGCAGGGGTAAGGGGACTGTCGTCACGGAAGTTGCTTGTAAATGCCTAAAAGAGCCAGGTGTTGGTTGTGCGTTTGCCTCACGCTGCGTTGCCTTGGGTTCAGTGGGAGCCCGTGTTGCTCTGGTTTCAAGAGCACCTTGGAAGCTCTGAGCATGGTCCAAGTTGCCTTGTGGTTTTTTCTGGAGGCTGAGGAGGGAGTCTGCTGACCAAAGAGATGCAGGGGGTGGTACACTCAGGCAACACCTGAAGGACACCAGCATGGATGGAACGCGCTCTGAAGACTTGGGATCTTTAATGAGGTGCCCTGGACATTGCTGATTTCTCTGCCGTGCTTGGGACGTCAGCACACCTAGGGCCAGCGGAATCTTGACCCTCTGGGAACCGCCTAGACGAAAGCCTCCCACTCATGGGTGCTTTTCCCCTGAAGGTCCCGGGCACGTGGCCTCCTGTCCCCAGTGTTCCAGCAGATGCGTGACTGGGGGTCTCTACCAGCCACTGCCTGGGTTTGACTCAGAAACTTGAAGACATTTAAAAAGTTTTCTAATTCTTCTTATTAATTTTTGTTCCATAAGTAATAGGAACCTACCTATAAATGGATTTTCTTCCCAAGTTGAAGACTAAGCAAAATAGTAACAGTTTCTCTGTTCATCCAGATGTTCGGTTTAGGTAGCTTGTGAAAAGTCATTCCTAGGATGAATTCATACTTCACCGTCATCCAGAGAAGTGTAAACTCTTTCTTCCGTTTGTGTTTCACTGAGAATGGGAAGCCCATGTTTACGTTCTCATGGCTAGCTCTCTCCACTTAGAGGTGGAAAGTACAACCAGAAAGAAAGTCTGCTCTTAAGAGGATGTCTTTCAGTGCTTACTGGTTTCAGATGCATGGATAGTTTGTAGTGTGGTAGGTTCCTCATTCCTCTAGCACACGGAAGGGCAACTTCTCAATATAAATCGTCTTGCAAAGAAACAGAGCATTTTGTCTGGGATCAGATGTTGTCCTTCGGCAGCATGTGAACTTGGGCAAGTCTCTTAGCTCTGCCTTGTTTCTTTTATCTATTAAACTGGGGGAGCAGTGTATTTGCATGAAGATTAGGTGAGGTTTTGAGCTCAACCATCAGATGGAGTAAGGGGCAAGAAGAACACACATTTGTTGATCACCTATTAGAATATGTTCTATCCATTATCCTATTTAAGGTTGTCATCTTTCTTTTGCAAAAAGTATTGCCTTCACCTTTTCTAAAAATTAGGAACTGAGGTTTTGGAAGAAGCAAGCCCTTGATCAAGGCTCTTCAACTCATAGGTGACAGAACTGGAAGTCAAAGTAACCTCTAAGTCCACACACTGTCAAGGAGAGCCTTTGTTTCCTTCCCCGACATTCTGTTTCCTAAAGTGTGAAAGAAAAAGTCGAGCATAAAAGTGGGTCATACGTACTAACTTTTCCTTCAAGTATTAACTTTTTCTTTGTGACAAACCAGTTTAGATATTATATAATAAAAACCTTATTGCCTTTTCTGAAATTCTGAAACATTTATGGAGGGTGTCAAAGATGTGCTTTGAAGTTTGAGTGACTTACGCAGAAAGTAATATAGATCTACTCACTTTTGTAAACTGTCAGAAATTAATAAATATTCTGGCCTGATTCATGACCACATGCCGGTACCTTTCTGACAGGTATAAATCAGCTTCAATTGGAAAGTGGGTCAGTTTACAAAACATAATTCTTTTATTTGGTTCTGAATGCCTTTACAACTTTTTTAAAAAAATGCTTTTTAAGTGACTATCTTATTACCATAATACATACATAATAGACTTTTCACATTATCATATTAGTAAAAATATTGGATTACCAACCAGGCGCGGTGGCTCAGCCTGTAACCCTAGCACTTTGGGAGGCTGAGGCGAGAGGATTGCCTGAACCTGAGGGTTCGAGACCAGCCTGGAAAACTTGGTGAGACCTTGTCTCTACAATAAATCATAAAAACTAGCTGGGCGTGGTGTTGTGTGTCTGTAGTCCCAGCTACTTAGAAGGCTGAGGTGGAAGAATTGCCTGATTCCAGTAGGTCGAGGCTGCAGTGACCGTGAGCGTGCCACTGCACTCTAGCCTGGGTGACAAGAGTGAGACTCAAATTCAAAAAAAAAAAAATTGGATTCCCAAAGTGGAAAACCTAAAGGCATCTAACGGGTCCCAGGAGAGAAGCTTATACAAGCTCACATGCTCCAAATAGAAAAATTCATCCTTGTAACATAATGAAAGTATTTTACAAGATTGGTTTCTACTAGGCCAGAGTATTAAGTTCTAAGACTTAGTCTTAGTTCTTTTTCATAAAGATCAGCACTGTTTGACAAGTTAGTATCCCTTGGGTAAGAAACAAGTGCTCTCAGGTTTTTGTTATTTTGCAAACTGATTAGCTTATCAATGGGGTTGTAGAAAGAACATATTTTGAGGTTGACAAGTATTGTGTGTTTTGATCATGTGACTTTGATTTCTGGAGATTTAGCAAACAGAAACTTAAATGTTTCAACACTTAAACCATTCTTGTTTTTCCTTTTCAGTGGCTCCACCCACAAGGTTAAGATACAATGTCTTATCTCATGACAGTATCCAGATTTCATGGAAGGCTCCAAGAGGGAAATTTGGTGGATACAAACTTCTTGTGACTCCAGCTTCAGGTAAAAACAATCAACTGTGTTTTCCCCAAGCATCAGCAAGTAAGTCCCCAGGGGATTCCTGTGCGCATTAAATTTGGGAAGCTCAGATTTGGGTCTTGAGGATGAAAGCAAACACAGCACACTTAGAACAGTGCCTGCTGTCTGGTAGGTGCTCAGTACACTTGGCCCATCATTCTTGCCAAGATGCTCTCCAGCCTCAGTACTTCTCCCGGAATCTGTTTTCATGCAGGACATAGTAAGTACTTAAAAATAGCATATTCAGGTAATACATATTTATGTAAATATCATGGCCGTGTTCCCTCCTTCTTGGTGAAAAAGAGAGTTATGTGGAGCTGGGCTCCCGTCTGTGGGGGACCTTGTCTCACCTGATCCTGTGTAGGAGGGAGAGATGCCCCGTTGTTCACAGATGTGAGCTTCTTGCCCAGCTGTTGATGTGCAGTTTCACATAAGACAAGCAGAGGAATCATCTGGCTTGTCACCAGGTCCCAAAGGAGGACCCTTGTTTTATGGAGAAATATGCTCTGTGGGCCCATGGGAGTGACTTCTGGCTGAGTTTCCATGGTGGCTGCAGAAGTGACTTGCTGGAAAGCGGAGCTGAATCTTAACCCTGGGTCAGACTCATCATTTTGGAGTATGACTCAATTGGAAATTTTTTTGACTTTAAAAAATAGAGTTTTAAAAAATAAGCTGTCATGGGAAATTTAAATATCAGAGATTCTTGAACCTATGATTCTAAAGGTCAAAATACAAGTTGCTATTTTGTGGCACCTCTGGGAATCTCCCATATCTGATCTTGAAAGCTACTTTCTTTCCTCTGCATAATCAGTAGTTTAACTTTTCCCGATTAATTACTGATAATACCATTTTTTTTCTTTTGAGTTGTAGTCTCACTCTTGTCGCCCACACTGGAGTACAGTGGCTGCTCCCGGCCACCACAGCCTCAACCTGCTGGGCTCCGGCGATCCTTCCACCTCAGCCTTCCGAGTAGCCGGAATTACAGGCGCACGCTACCATGCCCAGCTGATTTTTTGATTTATTGTAGAGGTGAGGTCTCGCTGCCCAGGCGGGTCTCGAACCCTCAGGCTCAGGCAATCCACTCACCTCAGCCTCCCAAAGGCATGGGGATTACAGGCTGAGCCACCGAGCCCAGCCCGATTTTTTTTTTTTTTTTGAGTCGGAGTCTTACTCTCTTGCCCAGGCTGGAGTGCAGTGGCACGCTGCTCATGGCCACCGCAGTCTCGACCTGCTGGGCTCAGGTGATCCTTCTACCTTAGCCTTCCAATTAACTAAACTACAGGCTTGCGCCACAACGCCCAGCTAGTTTTTGATTTATTGTAGAGACAAGGTCTCACCATGCTGCCTAGGCTGGTCTCAAACCCTCAAGCTCAGGCAATCCTCTTACCTCCACCTCCCAAAGTGCTGGGATTGAAGTCATGAGCCCCTGCACCTGGCTGTTACCATGTTATTAAGTGCCCTAAGCAGGTGTCATTGAGGAACTGTAGGATCTCAAAAGTGACTTGAGTGGCCTCAAACCAACCCCCCTCCCGATCCTCTGTACCCTTGGCAAGAGCACACCCAAGAAGCAGATGTCTGGCTCGTGCCTAAATATCCCCTGCGACCAAATAAAAATTTGGGAGGAGCCAGGCTCGGTGGCTCAGCCTATAATCCTGCGCCTTTGGGAGGCTGAGGTGAGTGGATGGCCTGAGCCCGCGGGCTTGAGACCCGCCTGGGCAGCGAGACCTCATCTCTACAGTAAATCAAAAATCAGCCGGGCGTGGTAGCGCATGCCTGTAATTCCGGCTACTCGGAAGGCTGAGGCGGAAGGATCGCCAGAGCCCAGCGGGTCGAGGCAGCGGTGGCCGGGAGCGGCCACTGCACTCCAGTCTGGGCGACAGAGTGAGACTCCGACTCAAAAAAAAAAATTTGGGAGGAAGGCACATTATTTCCTGGTGAGTGCTAGGTTTTTTTACCCAGCGTCCTTCCTGCCACTGCAGGAAGCCACTCGTCTTGACTCTCTGGTAGCCACTTGAGTAAACATCGCAAACAAAAAGTCACTGTGTTTGTGGACGTTTCAGCACGATGAGAGGTAGGCCAGCCACTGCTCCAGCCAGTCTTTCTCACAGCACGAGCCCTGGTTTCTGGAGGGTGCTGAGAGCTATTGGGCAGCCAGATGATTGAATGGTCAAGGACATTTAGGGAACACTGAGTTAAACGGAGTTTACAGCTTTTTGTTGCAGGGTTCTCAAAGCCTTTAATAAGAAAATGCACCCTATGACTCTCAAAGAGGGACTCCGATACAACAGGGCTTTGTAAGGAATTTTTTTTTAAGTGAAGCATAGATTATGAAAGCTTTATTTGGTTCACTCTGTAGTAGGTGGGTTTTAAGTGATAGAAGAAATTTGTGAAACTGGATTTACCTGTACACAATTGCATTCAAGGAAACATGCTTTTCCAAGAGAAAGGCTCGGTTTTGCCCTCTGGTATCAGGCAGCGTGGATAATAACAGCATCAAATTTCAGACTTAACAATATTAGTTTTATTAGAATATGTTTAAAATATATTGTAATCTGTGTTATATTTGATTAATTCAGCAAATGTCAAACTCCTCTTGCTGTCACTGTTAGAGACAGACGTTTTAAATTAATTTCCCTTTTCTCAGACACACTAATTGTTGCTGGAAATTAGAGAAGAAAGGTAAGATTTGGAATTTTGCATAGAAGTTGAGTATTCAACCGCATTTTCAGGAAAACCTCACATGTCAGTCTGATTTGATGGAGCAATAGTGAGATATTGAAATCTTTTCATGAACCAAGCTAATGTTTTAACAGCTGGGCAGTGAGTAGTTCCTTCAGCCTCCCAAGCCTGGATGGTCAGATTTAAGATAATTAAATTGCTTGAGTTTCAAGGACACTTTGGCTCACTTTGGAGAGGCCGTAGAAAAAAATCCCAGCTTGAATAATGACATCCAGCCTGTTCCGTGTCCCACACCACGTGTAAGTGGGATTCCTTCCTTGAAGAGCAAGTCTGGTGTTGGGGCCTACAGCTTTTCCTAGCATATAAAAGCAGCCATGTGTTGTGATGAGAGGTTTCTGTGAACTTGATTTTATCTAATTTAGGCAATTGTTCAAGTCATCTAATGGAAAAATAGTATGACTGGAAATGAGAATGAAGATTATAGTGGTGTGTACACAGTAAGTGCTATACACATTTGTGCCATGATGTGCATTTAAAATGTCTTCGTCTTTTGGAGTATGTCAAATAACCATGTTGTACACTGTAAATATAGACAATAAGAATAAATGTTTAAAAAATGTCACCATCTAACATCTTGATTACTTAATAAGATTTCTTAATGTACACAGTTAACCTTATTTCTCAGAACTGATGTTTTTTTCTGTTTTGTTATAGGTGGAAAAACCAATCAGTTGAATCTCCAGAACACTGCGACTAAAGCAATTATTCAGGGTCTCATGCCAGACCAGAATTACACAGTTCAAATTATTGCATACCATAAAGACAAAGAGAGCAAGCCGGCCCAAGGCCAGTTCAGAAGTATGTATCTATAGGTTACAGAACTCTGTCCCAGTGCTGGGTTTAAGTCTGGATTAAGTCACTATTGTAAGGAGTTGAAATCCTAGATACTTTTAGATGTGTTGTGACCTTCAGAGACCTCCAGCCAGCCTTCCGTGAGTTCCCCCTCCCTGGTGAGGCTTGCTCCTCCCTTTCCTCATTTGTCAAATTCCTTCCTTGTCAGACCCAGACACCTCTGCCATGTGGTTTCACGGCATCCAGGGTTTCCTGTCTGGTTGGGCTGTAATGGCATGTTTCCTTCTCTGTGTCTCCCACAAGCCCAGAGTGGCTGGACTGTATCTGTTTCTTATGAGATTGTGGCTGCATGGTACATGCCTGGCACATAACAGGGGCTCCACAAATAGGAACAGTTGGACGGCAATGCTTGCATCTCCTCCGTGGTATCCTTAGAACGTGCTAGTCCAGCCTCTAGGAAAACCACCCACACAACAGAGAGTTTCACTCTTTCCAGGAATTCATCAGTGAATGTTTATCAAGGACCTGTTTATGTCAGTCTCCTGCAGTGTGATAAGTACTAGCAAGAGTTGCACAGAGGTCTCTGTGAAGAGGGGTGTTCTATATGCCCTATGATGGCCAAGAGAAGATGGATGTGGGAAAGCTTCCTGGGTGGGTGGAGAGAGGGCAGGGTGTGCCCAGGATGCTCTGCATTGGGAGGAAGCACTGAGGCAGCCCCATCGATATCCAAGAGTCCGTTGGGAAGTTTTTCCTTCTGTTAGTTTAAGATGGGCTACTTGCCGGGCTCGGTGACTCAGCCTATAATCCCGCGCTTTGGGAGGCCGAGGTGAGTGGATTGCCTAAGCCCGCAGGTTCAAGACCCACCTGGGCAACTTGGCGAGACCTCATTTCTACAATAAATCAAATATCAGTCGGGCATGGTAGCGCGTGCTTGTTTTTGTTTTGTTTTTTTTGAGTTGAAGTCTCACTCTGTCGCCCAGACTGGAGTGCAGTGGCCGCTCCCGGCCAC